TATATATATATATAAATTTTAAATCTAAAAATAGTAATTTTTAACTAAAATTACATCCAGTGATTAATTTCAGCATATCTTAAAATCTGTCAAGCTTAACTGATTTATATGACATGGCATGAAATTCAGAATATTCTTAATAAGTAATATATAAAAACTAGGCTCAGTCAGAGAGAAAAAATTATTTCACGCTTGAAAATTTAAATTTGTTCTAAATTTAAAAATAAATTAATTAGCGCATCATTTTCATTGATAAAAGTTGTATTTTCTTGTCTATGTTAAATAGAATTCAAGTTGTTAGCAAAATTTATTAATTGTTATTTGCTAAGGAATGAATTACTTTCAGCTTTTTCTCTCATTAATTAGTTTATTGCAGATGTAAAAGTAAGTAATCTCACCTTGCTAGACTTCACTTTGTATAATTTTTAGTATATAAAAATATTAAAATTATAAAAGTAAAGTAAAATCTGGAAAGTATATATAAATATACATATATGTTAACTCATTTTTAATAAATAAAAAAACTATTACAATTATTTTTAGTCATATTTAGTTTTGCGTTGCTTATTTTCTTGCTTTTAACATTATTCATATTTGACCACAGAATTGTATAACACTTAAATTTGTGCCTTTCACCTTTCAACTTTTATCACTTCACATACTTTTTATCATTTAAATTATTATAATGAAATAATATTTCGAAGAACTTTGATTTATAAACACATTTTTGCAAATTGAAGGGAAGAGCTAGAATACTAATTAAGCCATAATAGCTAAGCTCTAATATTAATAGTGATAGAGGCTTTAAAAAAGTTTTAAAGTTAATTAAAAATTTTTAAGCATAAAAAGTAAATATAACTTTTTCCTATTCTGATCACACATTCTTTTGTAGTACAAGTCTGTTGTAAGTTGGAAGTATAAATGCATTTGTTAAGCCTTAAAGTTCTTATAAATACTATCATTTCATAGCTTAAAAACCATTATTATCATTTTTAATTCGATATTATTTTTTCCTTTGCTTATTCTGGAAATCATAGGCATCCTTTTTCCGTCTAATACTTTATAAATATTCAATATAATCTTATTTATGACATTTAAGGATTGCTTTACTTTAGCCATCATAATAGCGATCAAATTGTCAAATATCTGTTTAGATATAATATAAATTCTTTACTTGAATATAAATGAATTTAAGGTTTTTAAATTTCAGATATTATAATTTTTATTATCGTTCATTTAATTACTTTGTTAGCGTTGTCACTCGTGCAAATATGTGATTACTTAAAATTTTAAAATGTTAATAATTTTAGGTTTACAATGTTAAGTATAAATTTTCTTTTTTTGCAAAAAGTGTAATTTTTGTCTAAATATAAATTTTTGATAATTTCTTTCCAACAATATAAATTTTGATTATCACTTTATTTTTTTTATTCCAAAAAAAAGTTGTATAATGAAAAACTTAAACGAGCTTAAATATGCTAATTACAATAGCATTTATAATTGTTTGATAACTTTTTATTTTTTATTTTTTACTTTTTTACCTTTTACACTTTTACATTTGATCGCTTTTATTTATTATTTGGTAATTCTTGATTTGTTGTATTATAGTACCATAAATTTTGTGTTCATAATAAATTAGTAATATTTATAATAATAATTGTCATAATTGAAACTCTTAATGACATATAGTATTTATTGAAATACGTAAAAAAGTACATACATACTTAATTACTAATTCAAAAACTAAATCCTATTTTTACTTCTTAAGTACCCATTTTTTACCAGTTAAAAATTATTAGAAAGTTGTTTTGAATTTTTTGATTAATCAGAAATAAAAGTGGTACTTAATTCTTCAAGCTAGAAAACGTATTTCAAAAGTAAAAAATAGTGATAATTAGTTAATTAAGTAAGCAAGTAAGTAAGTTATTAATCAAGTAAATGATAATGTAATTAAGTATATAAGTAAATTGATGAACTCTACTAGTAACATTTATGCAAATTTTATCATTAATTGTTACTGAAAAATGAGACGAAACATTATTTGAGACAATCATATTGAAAGCTTTTAGAATAATATTTTTGTCTCAACGAAATCTGTTATTTTTTAAAATATTTTTTTGATATTTTTGGCAAATTTCACTATACATTTAGAGAAATGCATACAATAATTGTTAATAAAAAATCAAAAATTCATGTAAAAGTATTATTCCAAACTTTGATAAAGCTTTGATTCAGATAAAAATGAATTAGAATAGATGTAACATTTTTTTAAATAACTAGGTTCAAAGTTCAAAATGATGTCATCATAAGTACTATATGTTTGAGGGGAAAAAATAACGATTTTTCAAATGTTTAGCTCTTTACTGCTTGAAAAAGTAATAATCTAATAAAAATTAGTTTTAAAAAAGGATTTCAAATAGCAAGTGCTATTTGAAATAAAGCGAAAAGTGATAAGAATTTTAGGTTGCTAACAAATTTTAATTTAATTATACAACTTTGTAAGTTTTAATATAATAATATTGTCATGCATAGATTTTACATTATGCATTGAATGTGCTAAAATGAAAAGATTTTTTAAATATTTATATTATTTAAAAAGTTTTCTACAAATTTTAATTCAAAGCTATAATTTTACTTTTTTGATTTTTAATTAATTTAAAAATTTAAATTATTAGCATTTTTGAATATGCGAAAAAGTCACCAATTACTGCATTTTTAAGTAAATCGAACGTTTATTGTATGAATTGTTGACGTGAATCTGAAATTATCCGTTTCTATGACAAATTAATTGCCAATTCTTTAAATGTCAAATATAATCAGTTCGACGCCTTTTTAATTTTTATTTAAATTTATATGCATAAATTCATTTTCTGCTATAAATATTTCATCTTTTCAAATTTTTAATTAAAATATTTTAATGAATTATTAAAAAAGGAATGACTTAATTGACACATTTTCAAGATTAGTATTAGAAAGTGACAAAAAATTTGGCATTTTGATATAATTTATATTCCACGTGAGTAAAAAGTCGAAAATATTTAATAAAAAATCAGTCAATATATTAAAATTTGTTATTTTGACTTTAATCGTAATCAATTTCATTTTAAATAAATTTTTTGAGTAAATTTTTAACCGTAAAATATTGCAAAAGTCTTTTTGCTTGAAAAAGCATGCGAAAATTCGGGTTGTAAGCTAGAAAAGTAAATCAAATGATTTAAGAGAGGGGTGGGGAATAAAGTTAACGTGGAAGGAAACACGCAAGTAGCGTCACTTACTTACTTATTTACTTGCTAGGAATGCTTATTTATTTTAGTCTCACCTTGACAAGATTGAATTTTTCTTTTTAACTTGAAA